GGTCTCGATATGCATCCATTTAAATGTCTCTAGTTTATCATTCTTTATGGCTGAATAGTACTCCATTTTATAAAAAAAAAAATCTTTATCCAGTCTCCAGTTGATGGGCATTTGGGCTGTTTCCAAGATTTAGCTATTACAAACTATGCTGCTATGAACGTGGGTGGACATATATTACTGTGGTATGATGCTTTTCATTCTTTTGGGAAGATGCCTAGAAGGAGAATACCTGGGTCAAATGGGACCTCTGATCCTAGTTCTTTGAGGTATCTCCATGCTGATTTCCACAGTGGTTGCACCATTCTACACTCCCACCAGCAGTGGAGCAGGGTTCCTTTTTACTCACAGCTCCGCCAGCATTTGTTATTGGTTGATTTCTTAATAGCAGCCATTCTTGCAGCTTGGTAGAGAGAGTATTGTAAGATGTAATATGAATGTAAAGATAAATAAAGCGTGAATTAAAAGTAAGGGAAGGTTGGGGTCAGGGATGCAGTTCAGTGGTCAAGCACTTGCCTAGCATAGCCGGAACCTAGGTTTCCATCCTCAGTGCACACATGCACAAAAATCTTGGGAAATTGCCGAAAAAGTGTATGGACAACAAATATTTCTGTAAGATTGATTACAGAGATGGTTTGGCCTGATTTCTCCTTCCAAATCTAGCTCAGGTGTCGTTCTATATATGTTCAGAGTAGTATGTCTTTTTCTCAGAAACAGGACTTAGCATTTTTCTGTTTATTTGTCTCTCTCCCCAGCAAAACTCAGGCAGTGAGAACATGGACCTTTTCTTTTATCATTGTCACCCCAATACATGAGAGTATGCTTGGTATATAGTAGATGCTCAACAAATATAGACTGATTACATTATTAAGGAGGCTTTAAAAAGGAGTCAAAATTGGCACCAACACTTCTTTTAAGTTTGAAGACTGCAAGAACAGTTGGAAAATGACTGGAAACAAAACTAAGAGAAAGTGTAAGGCGCTGCTAGTTTATTCCACATGGGACTCAAATTATAGTACACAGGCAGGGGAGAAGAGAGACCAATATATTTACCTAATGGTGTCCATGATGCTATTTGTTGTATTCTGTTCTATATTTTCTTCCTGTGGAAGGTGCTTGTTGCACATTAATGCTTCATGAATTAACCATAACTGCCACCAATGTAATTAAAATATTGATTGCCAAGAGGAAGTGAGGATTCAGCATTAATTCATTTAGCAAAAACTTACTGAGTCCCATTATATGTCATTCCTTGCAATAGGCTCCAGGAATGTATATATAATAGCAAGTAATTACCTCGCCTGCACCAACTTGGGGGTAGAGCTGAAGTATTAAAAAAAACAAAGAGAAGCCTCATTTTATGGCTCTGAGCCCATCAGATGTCTTCTCTTCTTCGACTAACGTTGGCCCTAAGCAGTCAAGACTCCCCAGAGCATTTCACAAATGGTATCCGGTTACTGCCCCAGTCCACCATGGCTCATGTCAGTAGGATACTCAGTAACACTACCACTGCTTAATGAATCCATGAACTCAATACTGCTTTTAGGGGACCAGTGTTGTGGCTTCACCTATTCTGGAAATATCCCTTGTTACAAATATTTCCTTGAAGCACCTAAGACCTTTCATTTGGTTCTGTCTGTTTTTCCTACACCTGACTCTTTCTTAATGGGGTCAGCCCATTCTTAATCCTGTGCAAGGGCAAACCCAGTTTATAATATTCACATTAGCTAACATTTATTGAGAATATATGATATGACCGGCAATATCTTATCATATTGAGACCATATATGATATGATCACAATAATCTTTGCAATAATCTAATGAGTTTGACACTTTTCTAACCCTCTGTTTGAATACTGGCATTTAAGTCATTTTCCTTTGTCAAATAGTCTGACTCCAGGGCCCGTATTCTTAAATATTCTCTACAACTAGGAATTTGCTGTCAGCTACAAGTACTTTGTCATTGTTCTTTATCATTAAGTGTCTTGGTGCTTCTAGTAGGAGTAGACTGATGATCCTCCTAGCTTGCTTTCCAGATATATCTAGCAGCAACCTACTAAGCTGAAAATCCAGCATAAAGTCATATGCAGGAAACGTCTTTGGAACACAGATAGGAACAGCAGATGGACAAAGACTCCAATGCCTTGAGAGTATTAAGCAATACAATGGTGCAAAATTTTACTTGAGAACAAAGGAACTGAGGCCTAATGTTGAAGAGAAGCTGTTAGCAAATTCAAATGAGGTATGCACGGACTGTTGCAGATGTGGGAAATTTAGGGATGAGGGTACTACTTGAAAATAAAACTGAACAATTAAGTTGAGAGAAGACTGTTCACTGTCCTGGATACTGTGCTAGGCTTTGGGCTTTATGGTGTTGGAATGAAATGTGCTTTAAGTGTTTATGTGATTGGCCCTGGTCGTTTAAAGGGTCTGAATGAGACTTCTCTAATGACAGTGCAGAGAATGAAGGAAATCGGGATGTCAGATATGGTGGCGATTGTAATTAACAAGCAGGAGATGGTGAGAGCTGATCTAGTGCAGTAATTTTAGAGAGAAGCAAAAGAAGTTACCTGGATATGCCTGGAGTAGATCTATAGAATTTCTTGATTTATTGAATGTCAGGGATGACTTAGAGGAAACAGTCAGATGGCTGAAGTACTTACAGTGATTCCTGCAGTGAATGCCTTATAGCAACTGTGAAGCCCCACACAGTCTGGTGCCCAGTCCCCTCCCTGACATCACCTGCATTACTCTTACCTTTGCCCATTCCCTACAGGTGTATTGACTACCTGAGTCTTCCTGAAATATGTCAGACAGTCTCCCATGTGAGAGCATGGAGTTTTATTCTTCGTGCCCCATGAAGCATTTTTCTCCGAGGCATCTCCATGTCTCAGGTCTTAAGATCCTTTTGCTCTTACTTTCTGTGTAAAGCCCACACTGATTAAACATCTAGAATTGCAAACATGCATACCTAGAGTTGTACACATGTGTGCACACACACACACAACTGTGCAGTGGCTATCCATGCACACATACATACACCATCCAAGTAGGCAATGCCTGTCCACTTGCTTGTACCATTTGTTTCTTAATGTGTATTACCATTTGACATTCATTACTTGTTTTAGTTAATATTTTTGTATTTCTCTTTTCTCCCACTCTAATAGAAGCCTCTTAAGACAGGATTTCTCTTTTTAAAAAAATATCATTAAATTAAAACCCTATAATAGCCAAATCTGTGAATGATGGTCCCCTTTAAAAATGCTGTTTTCTCAAATTTAGGCAACTTCTGATTTCCTTTTATTTTAGATGCATAGATATCATATCTGTAACATAAAAACACATAAAAGCAGTCACACATGCACACACTTACATACTTAGACACATTTACTCATTTATTCACTTACATAAAATGTCCTTTCTCTTGGGGAGGTCATCTCTTGGGACTGGAGGATATGGAATTTTGGCTGTGGCTATGAAATATGCATCATTGTCTGATGAGTTTTTGAAATTGTATTAAACGGTGGCCTTAATGCCACTTGGCTCTGCTAAATTGTGAAGCAAGCTGCAGAAGCAGTTGGGCTTTTAAAAGGCCATGGTTGTGTCTACCTGATGGCAAGGCTTGTGACAGAGTCAGTGATTGAATTAAAATGGTCATGGAGCTAAAACTGGATTGGCTAGAAAGGGCAGAAGAGTATTCCAAAGGCACAATTGAAATGCTCATTTATTTTAACTTCCTTAAGCAATCCCATTCAGAAGTGTGGCATTTTTACCTCACCGACACTTGAATAATATTCCACCATAAAAATTCACATCGGGGATGTCTGAAATGTTGTCTGCTTGTAATCTATCACTGGCATGATCTGGGACATCCGTTTGGGATATACCTATGAGAATTCGAATTGTTCCCATCCATCCATGAAACCAAGTCAATTTGCTGAAAATAAATTCACCAAGTCAAATTATCGAGATTCAGTTTGCCATATAGTAACTCTGCCAAAAATCAGCCTTACTGAAGAACTCTTTACTAATGACTGATTTTAAAATTTATAAAATTGGTCATTGTAATTTTAGTAAATAAACAGAATGATTTGAGGGCCTCAATAGGAACATAGTCAAAGTTTCATTACTTCATATGGAACTTTTCAAACTAATGTAAATTAAAAAGCAAAGCAAAAATCTTTATTTTGGCTTTGGAATCTTTAATGGCTTTTGGAATTTTTTGGCAATTTCAGAGGGAAATTTATATTTCATTTACCGTATCTAGAAATTAGTTGCCACAATTGATTATGTGCTGTGAGTGCTTCTTTCCCTTCCTAGTTTATTTCTAGTCCTAGAGTCAATTATAGTCACCCCTTCAGGTGATCCCTGCCTCGCTTCCTCACTTGGATACTTTCGACCTTTGATATTGTACCTTTCTCCTAACAGTTAATAAGTCAATGTTTTCCATTCCATCTTGTTAGAAACCAAAGTTTCAGTGTTTTATAAATGACATGATCCTTTCATCTACATTAGGTAGACTTTAAAGGCTTTTAAGTGTTATTTTTTACTTTGCAAATTTAAGGCATGTCATGTATAAAGGGTTATCTTTGACACCTAACTGTAACCATAATTAAGTTACATTTAAATTTAAAGTTATTATTAATGGTAAATATACATATGTGTGTGTGTGTGTGTGTGTGTGTGTGTGGTAGATGTGTATATGTTATATAATATTCTGTATCACTAGTGACCAGAAGCATTTATTCCTGTTAAAGGTGCTAATGAATTAATCAGAACTGTTTGCAACATTTTTGATAATGAGTATATTTTGTGAATTTGATGAAATTGTCCATTTGGAAGAACAATCACTTAGAAAATGGATTTTAGCAGTTCATTCCATCTGAATTGATTTCTCACCAAAATTATCCCCGAACATTCGTTTCTCTGAATGTTTACAGTAGTAGCATCCATATGTAAATATGTCTGTGACCTTTAACAGAGAAAATTTTTTTGGAACTAGACACCAGATTCCAACTGAGGAAGTCCTGTGTTTCCCAGAAATCAGTTATTGGAACTGTGACGTGGAGCTGTTTCACCTGGGTCCCATGACGATGTGGCTACCGATGCAAGCCAGGGGGACTTAAGAGAACAGATGGACTTGAGATGGAGAAAGTCAACTTGAAGAAAAGAAACAAGACAGTCAGACAGGCATTAAAAAAGCAGAAATACAGTTTTTAAAAATCCTAATATAATTAGTGTTGTTTCCAGTTTTTCCTAAGGCTTACCTTTATTTGCATCTCTGAATGCCTTGGGGCAGACAGATGTGCCATGGTATTAATAATAACTCTTTGAGGCAGACTGATTAGATAATTATTAATAATTGATGACATTGTAGACTAGTATGGATGTATGTTCCTGGCATTGATGTTCAGTACCTATGAGCTCCAGTGATGCAGACCTGAGTGTATCCTGTGTAGGAGAAACCAGAAAAGGAAGCAAATGGGGTTCGTACTAGTGTATAGCAAAAGGTCGTCTCTTACTGAATCCTCACCCCCAAAATGGGTAGGGTATGTGCCAAATATGAACAGGTCTTTCCTTCTAAAAACATTTGTAAAATCATACTTCTATATTTTTGTATTAATAAAAAGGAATGTACCTCTCACATTTGAGTGGACTTGCATTCTTCATTTTGATTTTTGATAGTCTTAATATTAATCCCATGGCCACATAATAATATTATAAAATACATACAAGTTTTATGAGTATTGAGGCATTCTTCTGCTATAAACTGAGAGTGTTTTAAAATGTGACAGTATCCATTGTAGTCAAGATATAAGGAAATGGTACTGATACACTCATGTGGGAATATAGACTCAAGTAGGTGATATAGCAAGAACCATAACAAGTCTTCAGATATATTTTATTTTTTATTTATTTTGTTTGTGAAATTTATTTTCTCATATACATTATGTATTTCTCTGGGAAGACAGCCTTCACCTTATTGCACTAATAGCACATCTGTAATACCAAGCTACAGGACAAGTTTTAAGAAGAGGTTTGCATTCGTCAATGTAACACTTATCTACCAGGCACTGTAGAAGAGAGGGATGAGGAAAAGCCAGGGCCTGCTCAGCACAGGGTAGGGTGAGGAGGAGGCAATGGGAACTCCTTCCTGGCAACTGGTTTTGCCCCAGGAAGGGGCACATGCAAAGCTTCCATCTGGATTCCGGGAGAGGGAGGAGACGGAAGCCTGAGAAGCCCAATGCAGTGCAACGCTGCAGCCTGGCTCCCTCTGTTTCTCAAGGGTGCAGGGACTCACCTTGCACTCATCTGTAACAAATCACTCTGCCCTAGCTGATGCTCTGGGGAAACCATGGGGCAGGGGTCATCAGCAGATTTAGAATTAGCAGCAATCAATAGGCCACTTCATATACATTTTAATCCCAAGTTTTCCCAATAGAAAATTTTCCTTAGAAAATAGTTGTGAGTGTGGAATCATTTTATATTTTTTATGTAATTTGTAATCAGAAAGCATGTTCATTTTTTAATTTCTAGAAGCAAATTTTTGGTAGCAGAGAAGAAATACAGAATGAAAAAATAGTGGAGTGTCTTATAGTCAGTTAACTAAATATTTTTAAAGTAATTAAATTACCTGAATTTCCTTAGGGTGAAATACAGTATTTTGTTATAAATATTCCATACTGAAGATAAGAGTAATAAATTACCATGTAAATATGGTATTAAATATAAAAGTGTCTACATATACATATGTGAAAATATGAATCTATGTTTGTTTTCTTCATCGGTACAAGTGCTAGGAAATGCTGCTGAGGCCCCAGGAGAAGAAGGAACCTACCTGTCACAGAGATTGGCAGTAGTCCCTTCCAGGCACAAAGCCAGACTACTACCTACTGCAGCCACCTGTGCAGTTAGATGTGGTTTTACAGCTCTTAATCTCCCTTTTGTGCTGGCTTCATGAAGAGTTTAAAAGGTAGTTTTGTAATTTTTGACATACCGATTTTCTTTTCCTCCCCATATTATCATAACAGTTTTCCCTATTTGTGGTTGCTTTGCCAGTGTGGATTCTATCTCCTGTGGTATCTTCTCAGCATGTGACTTGATCCTGGAAGGAATCTTTAGTTGGTTAGTTTCGAGAGTTCACTGGGCCCAGGCCATTCTTCTGAATGTACTTTAGCCACTTTATGAACTTAAGTTCATATTGGAGCTGTAAAAATCCTTTTCAGCTTTTTCTGCTATTCTCAGATTCTGCTATTTCACTGAAGTCTCATTGGCTCTTTGAAGTTTCTCTGGATGACATTTCATCAGAGGTCCCCAAGATTCTTCTTTCTTTCCAACTGCATAATCACTGGAATCATGCAGGTCTTGTTGTCTTGGTGATTTGTTTCTAGTCGTTATGGGAACATCTTGTCACTTAGCATTTTTGTAGATGTTGTGTCTGGTGTTTGGAATTCACCATCCTAACTTTTATTTAGTTTTTATAGGGTAAGGGAGTGAAGAAATAGACACAAAAACCAAAACCAAAAATGATGTTCATACAAGCAAGAACAAATTCATGTGAGTTTCTTCAATGTAAAGCACTATGATTAAAATTGTGAAGGTAGAGGAATTAGAAAGTAACCAATTATATATATATATATATATATATAAAATATGTGTGTGTGTGTGGGTGTGTGTGTGTATGATAATAAGGAATCAGCCATAGCACTGAGTGAATACGGAAAGATATTGACAGGTCAAGACGCCTGATTTTCAATTCTAAATTAACCAATAATTGTTATATGATCTTTCCTGGGTAAACTTTCAGATTCCCACAATGTAGAATACTTAGCTTTAGGTCCACTTGACTTAGACATCTTACCACTTTATAGGGCAGGGAAATGTCCCTTCCATTACATTTATACTGGCAGCATTTAGTCCTACTGAAAAATCTGAGGTTTTTCTTTCTAGAATTAACATGTAAATTCTTTACCATTATATCTGGTGACAACATTCAACCACTCCTTTATGCTTTCCATTCCCAAACTCGCTTCTTGATCTATCCTGAGGTTTGAATCCCCAAATATATGTATATAGACATCCTGATTTCTCTGCTATAGCTCATATGGCCTTTAAATATAGTTTAGACAAAAGAAAATATTTTCCTCCAACTCTGCTGATTGAAATTCTAACTCCTCAGTCACTGGCTGCTTTCAGCTACTTCCTTTAGGAAGACTTCATGTATTTCCTCAGCCGCCCCCTCAAAAAATTGCCTTTCTTTCCCTGATAGCACATTTATGGCCATGTGAATATGTTTGGTCCTTCATTACAATTACACAGAATAGTGCAGAATGAAATGAGCCAACCAACCTTATTTTGGGAATCAGACCAGCATTTGCACAGTGATTTTATCAATTAAAAATTTTACTGCTGCCTGCCTCACAAGTGCAAGGTCCTAAGTTCAATTCCCGGTAACAACAACAAAAAAATAGTAATAATAACTTTAAAGTTATAACTACATTATTTTACTGTAAAGACAATAATGTAAAATACTTTGTAAATATTTAAGGTAATCTTTATCTATTTCACATTTTAGGCTTAATTACAACTGTCTACTTGACATCCCCCACTAACATGCCCAGAACAATACCTGTAATCAATATGTGCATAAGCCAGGTAATAAATCAATCCTGTCTTGCCCGTTAGTGGAGTTACAGTCACCCAGTTACTCAAGTCCAAAGAGTATGGATTATTATATTCTTTTTGTTCTGTCATTAACCTTCCTCCTCCTAGTTCACCAGCCAGCTCAGTCTCTCTAGCCCCGTGATGTACCTCCCTCTCCACTCCTGTCTTATATGACTACCACTAGACAGAGGCAGCCTCCCAATGTCCTGCTTTAACTCATGTTTCTCTTCTACCCAACAGCAATCAACTTTGCTTTTAAAGATGTAAATTATATCACATGCCTGTTTTCTACAAACCGCTTAGATACAGACATATAGTTATGTTCTACTATTCTTTGACCTAATCCAGGCTCATAGCATATCCTACAATGCCCTGTGGGAACAATCCATTATTTCTCTCTGAGCCCCAGTAACCATAACTCTGATGTGTGGATTTTAACTTAGCCTCCATGGCTATATTGTCATTTCTCAAATGTTCCAACATAGTTCTCATATCAGAGCCTTTAAATTTTTGTTTCTCTTGTCTAGGACACTAATTAATCAGGTTTCTTTGAATTTCTTGTAGATTTCTTAGTATCAGTTACATTTTTTTTAATTCAGTTCACTTCAGAAAATGTTTATTATAGCTTGTATTTTTAGTGGCTCCTATGCTGTCCCTGCTATCTTATGCCAGATAAATAATTGGAAGGGTCATCATTAATAAACAAGGCCCTGCTTTCATGTAGAATGTTACAGTGGGAGATAGCAATTGAGTATCACAAGTGCAAACATGAAATTTCAAACCAAGGTAGTTTCTTTTAAAAAAGGAGACCTTGATCATTAATCGTCATGCAAAAAGTCCACCCCCCCCCCAGTGATATCAGCAACTGGACCAGAAGCATCATCTGTCACAGGTAAAAGAGGGAAAAGTGTCAAATTAGTTTTGTTTCATAAGACACTATTAAGATTTCACTGCATCTGTCTGTCATCGTGGGCTTGATGTCAAATATAGCAGCACACATTATCACATTTAAATGTTATGTCATTTTCAGCAATTGGAATATTATGCTTATTGTACTGTACTATTTCAGGTTCTTTGGAATTCTAATTTATTTTTCTGTTATAACTGCTTACTGGAAAATTTCCCTGTAAACTTTTATAATATATTGTTAGACTTAGTATGGAGTATATTTTTACTTTCTTATCCCTTTTATTAGACTTAAAGATCCAGCCTAAATTTATTTTATGTGGTTAAAATATTTTAACTGCTTAAGTATTTTGTTTAACAAATAACAGAAAGTAAAAAGGAAGCATTATTTAGAAAAATCACCTTATAATTTCATTCAAAAATTAAAATTAAAGCCATGACTAGGACATTTTTCTCATTTCCATTTATGTTAGTTATTTATCTCAGTGCTGAGACAAAAGTTAAGGGAGGAAAGATTTATTTGGCTTACAATGTAGAGAGGTTTCAGTCCGCAGTTGGCTGGCTCCAATGCAGAGTAGCACATGGCAGATGG